CCTGTTTTCAACATCTGTTTTCTCAAAAACAGAAAACAGAAATGAATGTAAACAGGCCCTTAGGAATCTGCTCCTTCTCCTTCCCAAGACGTACCTTAGTCTCGTGGGGGCCTCCTAGAGCTATATTCCTAATCATGATTAAAGTATACTGGAGATTCTAAAATCCTTAAAAGAAACCCTGACTCGTTTGGCCAAACTTTCAACTGACACCAACCTTTTCCATTCCTTTAAAACCTGAAACCTTGAAAAACTCAGATCATCACTCCAGTATTCCTTGGAGACCAAGAAACAGAGGAGTGTTGGCTCGGATACAAAAATGAAACGACCCGATCCTTTTTGAAAACCAAACCATAACTCAAACCACAAAACCGATTACTCCGGAGCAACCAAACCACTTTTTAAAATAAACAAACTGACAATGTTTAAGAATTTCAAACAAAAAGCCCCAACAATTGGGCAATAACAAATCCCAAAACACTTGACCCAAAAATCTCGAACCGTGAACCTCCAGTTTATACTCATAATCATGATACATAAGACAACTACTAAATCTAACTCTAGCTCCTCGCTAAGCTCCCTGCGACCTCGCCAATGCTAGTGCGGCTTCTCGCCTCGCCCTGCCTCTTCTAGAAATCCTCATCCGTTAACCCTTCCTCAACATGGTGAGTGAGAAGGGGTCAGTCTCGTCGTTACTTCCTAAGGTCTTGCTCTAAGTAAACCCTTACTAACACATTATTAGAAATTTCTTCCTCTTACAAGAAAGTCGTTCTCGCTTTCATCCTTAATACTTTTAATCCTTGATATCTCATAGAAGTTCTCTACTTATATCTTAACTTATATACTTATTACTAGGGAATCACTACGTTACGTATCGGCGTCCGGTGTCCCTATACTCAGGGCAAAGGTACTGCATTACGTATCGTCGTCCCGTCCATGCTCGGTCAACTACTACGTTACGTATCGTCGTCCAGTAGTGACCCGACCATCTACCGCGTCGAGTAGTGGCCCAACCGCCCGGGGGTTCATCATACCAATAACCATACATCAACACACACATACACATACATAGCACAACGCGTGCCTCCACCTTAGGTAGGCGGTGGGATGCCTCACACACATAATCGCGCTTACTTGAAAAATAACAAACATAATTGAATTAAAAGACATACTAAAAGACCTCGGCGGAGATTTTACCCCCTTTGCACTCACCTCGAATCCATCGAAGCCGACTCTGATTCTGCTCTTAAATTCCATGACTCACTCCCATTAAATTTTCCTTGTTCTCACGATTCCATAGGCGCCAACGGTTCCTCGTTTGGACTTCAATTGATCGAGTTATGACCAAAATAAACATTCTGTCAGTTTAAAAGTACCAGGTACCGAAATTGAAAATTTTCCAGTCAACATAGTTGACCACGACCCCTCTGTAAAATTTCCGAAATAATCCACCAGCTTTCCGAATTGTCCATAATGGTACCTGAACTTGACAGTTTTTCATCCAACCTTTAGATGCTCGTTTCTCCCTCGTCCGACGTCAGAATCCGATTTCGTCGACACGGTGACGATTCTGGGTTCGCCCTCTTTGCATTGGTACCCTCCAATCGAAAAATGCTTGTACATGAGTTTTCTGGTTTTTCCGGCGAGTTACGAGGAAGTCCCGGCGAAGGCCGACGAGACCTCTAACTACCTCGAAATTTGATTCTAACTCCGAGGAACGATTCCTTACCTTCTCCCGAGCAAAATACAATGACCATAATCATTCATTTCCCTCTCTTTCTAATGGCGGATGACGTCGTGCCGCTACTTTCTTCCCATCGCGCTTTGCTTCCGTCTCCGTGTTCCCGTTGAGCGGCCGCTACTCTTGTCGGGCGGAGGAACGAGATGGGAGGGAGATTGCCGGTCGAGCTTGGTTGACGAGAAGAGGGATGGCCAGATGCCTTCGTCAAGCGGCTGGGAATTGATCGAAGTTTGGCGTCTGTCGGGCTGGCTGCGGCGCTGGCGAGGGTGGGAGGCAACGGGAGATGCTGGACGACACGACTGCTGGTTCTACTCATGGTAAGAAGGCACTGAGTTGGGGAAATAATCGGCAGAGTGGCAATAGGATTCCTACTGTTTCTCTTAGTTACGTGGGGAATTAAAATGAAAGGAAGAGCAAGTAACGGAAGTGAAAGAAAGGGACCGATGGAGAGAGGGAAATGGGGTAACGTAAAGTGGTTAGGGTTTTGGGGGGTTTTTTTTCCTTTCTTCCTTTTTGGTGGTAACGTGGTGTGAATGATGGAGATCATGATAATAATTATGGCCCCAATGATAATTATGGCGATAATAATAATTATTATTATTATTATTATTATTCTCTAATTCACGGTTGCACCCACTCGTACGTAATCGTCCATCTAATCGTTTATTTCTTTTGGTCAAACCTGAACCCAAATATCAGGGTGTTACATTATATTTCAGTATTGATCGGTATTTCCTTATATATCGATCCCAATCTCGTAATCCCTAATACCGAATAACAATTGAAACTCAATCCCAATCCCAAACGCACGAAATAATACGTGTATTCGGTAATACCAAATATAGACAAATTCGGTACGATATTCGGTATAACCCAAATACCGGTACCAAACTTCCAGCCCTACCCACGAGCCTGCCCCACACGATGATCAGCAACACCCTCCCACTGCACACCCTGCGGCGAACCTCGCCCCTGAGTTGCTAGCACCACCTTGCGTTCTTGATGTCTAGGCGAAGGTTTGGGACCAGCTGCAGCTTTCTTGTAGCCTTGGCGGTATTGCTTCCCAACAATGATTTTGGGAGCTTTTGAGACAGGAACTTGGAAGGGACTCAGACCCCTCCGACGGCTATTTGGTTCGACCTCCATGAAGGAATTATCAAAAGTTCCCATCCATCAAGGGCTCTCCTCGACAGCTGGTTGTTTCCTCATATCAATACTACATCTCGCCTCAGTAACCAAGCTAAGAGCAGTCGTGGGATCAGCGGTTGCCCTCCCCTGAAGCTCCTTGTTAATCCAAATCAATCGATTAGGAAAATGGCGAGGTGCCTCCTCATCATCATAGACTTTTTGACCCAATTTCTTGGTCGACATGTGCTTACCAAACCTCTCTTTCCCGGTAGGGGGGTCAAAGGCACAAGCTTGGCGGGCATGGCCGACCCGTCCACAGTGAAAACAGAATCTCGGTAGATATTCATACTTCAGCCATATCCAAAAGTTACCAGTCTCTTCATTGACAGCCATAAACTGCGAACGTAACGGCTTGGAAAAATCAATCAGAACCTTCACTTTGATGAAGAGTCGAGCTGTTTCCATACAAGAAAACACGCCAGCTTCGAGCACCCGTCCAAGAGTGGCATTCGCCACTTTCCTGCCAAACTGATGGGTACAACAATCTTCCTACATCTTCCATAGTTGGACTTTGAATGGAGCTATTGCGAGCTCATCAGAAGTGCATTTGTTGATTGACGGAGTCCATGTCCTCAGGTGAAGGATTTTTTCTCTGATCACCCATGGCGTTCGCTCGAGTACCCAGGTTTTAGCAGCTGCCGACGAGAGAACAAACTCATAAAGCCCGTGAGCCACCAGTCGTACTCGAATTCTGCAATGCCCTTGCCATGGGTTGTTAACCAAGTCTCGCAGCTCCGTTGGGGAGATCCTGTTGTCAGTGAAGAGCCGACCCAACAACGTCCGGGACTTGAGTATCTTCGTCAAGTGGATTTCCTCCAAGGAGAACTCCACAACCTGATCCTTGGTGGCGTGTGACATGGTGTTTTTCTGCATCGCCAGCTGTAAAGAATGGTCACCAACAGCGCAACAAGAAGAATAGCCAAAAACCGACCGAGGGAAGCAGGTAAAGGTGTAAGTGAAAACTCTAATTAGGATAACACTCGACCCGAGTCTTCTGATAAGGGTATAGACACCAAAACCCCACTTACCATAGTCCAGTTCGAGCATGCAGGGGGAGTTCTTCTTTGTACTGCCGCTAGTTGTCTTCGTGTTTGTGATACATACGTACTATCACAGCTAGGGCAAAATATTAAATAGAAGGCTGAGCCAAAGAACCCCTGCGTCAGCAACTGACCCTTTAGGGTTAGGACTCTGTGTGATTTAATTAAAAAAGGATTAAATATTGTTTCTGGGATTTGCCACATCGTTTAGGGATACTGAGAGAGAGTAAACCCCCCATATCGTTATGATATTTCAAAAATCGGGGAAAGGTTGGACCAGACCGTTTGTCGTCCAGCACGCACACTCGTAAGTGCTCCCAGATCAGCACCGGCGTCGGCGGCCAAGTTAGGGGGATTACGTCCGACACTAGGATCTCACTATTCGACTTGGATAAACTCGCCTCATCGCGTGGTCTGAGTTCGGTCGGAGGAGGTGCGTCATTTCTGACTACGTCCCTTTTAATACCATTTAACACTGGCGGAGGAAGGTTATTACCCTTTCCAACCCATCCACCTCACTCGACGATGACAATCAAAAGCGCCAGACAGACATCTTACAGGTCCAAACTCGTTTAGCTGGAGAAGGGGGCGATGTGTTATCCACATCTATTGGGAAACTTTGTAATCTCTTCTGGATCCCATTCCCAGACCTCTCTGAAGGGAGAGGGACCAACGGAGCTCTGTGCTCATCCCTGGTCATCGGACCCTTCGCCCCCTCAAAAGCGCCACGCGAGCTCTTATCACCGCTCTTGTTGGTGCGTGATATGCCGGCTGTGTGCGGCCATTGTTGACTCTGATTGGTAAGGGTAGCCGCTAACACCGCCGCGCAAAGGGAGAGAAGAAGGTGTCCGGCCAGGCGGCAGAGCTCGAGGAGAGAGGAGAGAGCTCATCTCTTTTTTTTTTTTATCTTTTTGATCTTATTGATAATGGGTAATTTAGTAATAGTATGTTTCAATTTAGGGCGATAATAGTAAAATTAGGCGACGTTTAGCGGTTCATTTGCTAAAATACATGTGAAACGAGCAGGGAAAGACGAGCCGACTCACTGGGCCGTGGACGAGTCAGTCATTCGAATCACTACGCACACTTCCAGTGCAGACTGCCGGAAAGTAAGAGTGGTAGTTGTACGGATCTTCTTCCTTCAACCCCACAACGTTCTTAACCTTTGCGCGGTACCCGAACCGAAGTCCACCCACACAGGAATGGAGAACTCTGGCGCATGTCAAGGTCTGACCAGGCCAATTCGCTGCATCGTCAAACTCGGTCTCCGTTCTTCCTTCCATCTCTCTTTATGTTGATTTCTAGCTTTCGTCTTGTATTTCAGATTCGTGATTCTCCAGTCAAAATCTAGTCTTTGGACTTGAGTTATAGATGGGCGATTCACACTTCTTTAAATAGATTTGTGTTAGGGGCTTAGGGCTTTTATGAACAATGATCAATACAGAGAAGTTAAGAAGCTCAAATAAATGTGATGTCTAATAGTGTATTCATCTATGAGGGGTGCAGGAGGTGCAGCAATTACTTGCAAGAATGAGCTAGAGAAGATTAATGAAGAGAATCTAGGGACTGTTTCTTCCCAGTTAAGGCAAGCAATGTCTTCCGGGCCTGACTCCCAGAAGATTCTTGGGATGGATTGGAGCAAGCGGCCTGGGGAATCTGAACTTTGTTGTGATGTGGGTGGTTTTTATGATCAAATTTCTTGTGATTCAAGCAACTTTGTAGTTGTCCATGGAGCAGGTTGTTCCTTTTCAGGCACTTGTGTGTTCTGGTTTTCGTAAAGCGTTGTCAGGTTGAAACAAGACCTGCGAGTAGCGACTTAGCTAATGCTGCAACCTTGTTTCTTGGCTTTTTCAGGTTCTTTTGGTCATTTTCAAGCCAGCAAATCAGGAGTCCATAAAGGCGGATTGGATAAATCTCTAGTTAAGGCTGGATTTGTAGCCACTCGGATTTCAGTAAGATTCTGCTGCACTTGTCTTCTCTTCAGTTCATCCCCGCTCCGAGTTCTCAGTTGGAATTCCAAAACTTGAACTGCTGCTGAGCTGAAGTATGATCACTTTAAAAGTCGAAAAGGAAGATTTGTGTTATGTGTTCCTATTTAGTGGAACTAGAATGGAGGAGGAATAAGTAACACAATAATGAATGCAATATTAGCATTATTTTATTTGTATCTATTTTGAAAGTTTTCAATAGCATTAGTTTGTTGCATCAATGTAACATCCATGAAATGTAAAAGAAGAAAAGAGGCATATTTAGTTTCGTATCTCTAAGCAACTTTTGTCTGGGAATGTTGTATGTTCGATTACTTTTTTAACTAATTATTGTCTTCATGCAGCTGTAATTTCGAATTCATTTCTTCGTGTGCCATTTCAGGTTACTAATCTGAATCTTGAAATTGTTCGAGCACTAGCTGCAGGTACGACTTTGCTAAACTATGACTCATATTTGAGGCCGATACTAGCAGCATTACCTGAACCATTCCCTTTTTCGATTCTCGTTTGTCAATGTGGAGTGTCACTGAAAATGGTTCTTTGTTTTTGCAGCTGGTATCCCGTCAGTTGGCATGTCTCCGTTTTCATGTGGATGGCTAACATCTGAAAGAAATGTTAGAGGCTTAATATGCTCTTGATGTTCATCAATTATTTCAGTCTCCACTTCAGCCTCATTGAACATTTGCAGTAACTCCCATCTGAGTCTGGATTATTGTTTTACTGCAGCTAGAATCAGCTGATCTGTCAATGGTTGTTAAAGCGATTGAGTCAGGATTTGTGCCGGTAAGGCTACCTTAACTCTACATCCCAGAATTGTCAAAAAGAAAAAAGAAAAAATTATACATCCCAGAATTGGGTGCTGAAATCGGGCATGTAAAGGAAGTAATTCATGTGGCCACCCAGAAAAATCTCTTACAAGCCTGGAACAAGGCCCATTACTTGTCCGAAAACAGAAACCTGAATACAACTTGTGCTGTGGAACTTGGAGATTATTACTCTGTAACATGGCCTTTGTACTTGTATTATATCCCCTTGAGAAATGTAGCTAATCAGTGTCTTCGCTTTGGTTGCCTGCTTCTTAGGTTTTGCATGGAGATGCCGTCCTTGATAGTCAACTGGTCAGTTTCTTCTGTGAAAATCTGGATAATAAGATTGAAAAGACACTTGTGCATCAACTTACTGCTGACTCATCATCTCCTTCAATTGTGGTTTCATAACAAGGGTTGTACCATTTTGAGTGGCGATGTGATAATAAAACATCTTGCAGCCTACCTGAAACCCGAATACGTCATTTTCCTGGTATCCTTTTTTCAAGACAGCATTTGCATGGCTTCCTACAGCTACACAACTTTTTTTTTCTAGTTTATCCCATGACTGCTTATTAAAGACAGATGTTTTCGGCGTTTATGATCGCCCACCTTCAGAACCTGAGGCAGTGTTGTTGAGGGAGATTGGTGCGTGTTACTACATTTACAGTTAAGTAGACTCTGAATATAGAAATGGCATGGGTTAGAAAGAACTAACCAACTTGTGCAACCACCTTTGCAGCTGTGACTGAGGAAGGGAGCTGGTCTGTCGTGAAACCGAACTATGGAAGCACAAACAAGCCAGGTTTCAAATCAAATGTACCTGTTACCAAATTTGTCCTGCCCGTTCAGTGATTATTTACTGAAATGTGCAATTTATCTTTGTGGTTGGACAGTTGAAATAACTGTAGCTGCACACGACACAACAGGAGGGATGGTGACCAAGATAGCAGAAGCAGCCATGATTGCAAAACTAGGCATTGACGTCTACATTGTAAAGGTAATACTGCTGTATCCCTGAACACCTCACAATCTCTTCCTTGCCTCATCTCTGGTGAATGGTGATGAATATGCTGTCTGTTGCTGATAATTGGTTTTGTTTCACAAACAGGCTGCAACGAGCCACTCCCAAAGAGCTCTAAGTGGAGAAATGAGGAGGGGAAGCATACCCGATGACTGGCTTGGAACAGTCATAAAATTTGCTGGCAAACCAGCACAACATTGATAAACTAAGCTCAACTCTGATACCATGTTGACGTCTATAGAAGTATGAAAGGGAAAGCATTATTGTTCAACTTCTTCAAACGGATTGACAACAGACTATTTTCAGCTAGAGAGATAAATCCTTTCTTTTAAACCATTGAACAATTGTTTATGTCAATTGGTAAAATCTGTCCTGATCTATTCCAGCGGGTTTCAGAAGCACGGTATACGGTTTTTCACAAGCTTATCTGTTCTTTCATTGTTATATATAATGGCATTTTAGGGCAGATTCTGGTGAGCATCTCTACTATACACATCTCCAGCTGCTCAATCTTCCAGACTTCTGACAAAGCAAACTCCTAGGCGAAAGCGATTCATTTGCATCTTTTTATCCATCAAGAATGAAAATCAGGTAGGGGCAGAGAGAACCCAAAGATTAGGGAGTAAGCCAAGGGGGTTGGCGAAACTTCACTCTGCCATCAAGCAAAGTACGAAGTTACTTGACTGAGTTGGAGAGGAGAGGAAAGGGTCTCTTAGAGGGAAATTTCAGTGCAGTACAAATCTAGAGTCGGATGGAAACAGATAGAAAGAAGCAGAACAGGGAGAGCAGAGTGCAGAAGTCGAGGAATATTTACCGAAACATCAGAATTCGAACCATCATAAAAACCAGGGGTAGTTATCATAAATGGTCACAAACCTATTTAATTTGTACAAAATGGTCACAATTCTTTAATTTTGCACGTTTTGGTCAAACAAGTTTGAGTGAATAACAAAAATGTCAATCCGTCCACTTCCGTCCAAAATTCCGTTACTTTTGCCCAATCAACATGACATGTCATCAAAAATATTAATAAAAAATAATTAAATTGTTTCAATTAACCGAACAACCCTAACCGGTTCACTAAATCTGTACCACCCGGCCGTACAACCCTAACCTTTCCAACGTATCCGCCGGCGTCATAGATCCTCCATGCCGATCGATCCCAGACGAGCACAAATGGAGACGAAACTTGCGGCCTGCTTGAATTCTTTTGGTTGCTCGTTATTGCAGTTTCCAATTGGCTGGACTATTGCTCCATCGGATGGTTCGTAATCTCCAGTGGGTGGCTCGTCTACAGCGGAGGGTTCTTCCTCCTCTGTGTTTCTTCATCTACGGTGTATGGCTCTCCGTCGTCATAGAATAGTTTTCCGTCTCCATAAGATTCAGGGGCTCGGCGGCCGCTCGGTTACATAAAAATCGATGGCGATGAAGACTCCCACCATTGAATCACGGGCGAACTTCTAGAGCGATTGATCGGAATCAAGAAAATAATGGCGGAGAGAGGGATTAGGAATCAGGCTGAGAAGAATGAAAGAAAAAAAACTCAAATGGGAAATACAAAAAGGAAAAAGAGCAATCAAGAAAGTGTAATGGGGAATCACCGAGAAAGACAATTGAATAGGAAATTGGCAGAGAAAGGACAAAAACGAAATCTAGAACGCTAAACAAAGGGAAGGGAAACTGAATCGTCCTCTTGAATGCTGAAAGAAATTAACAATGGAGTTTGCGGAGAGATTGGTCCAAGCAGATGGTTACGGAGACAAATAGTGAACCGGTTAGGGTTGTGGTTAATTGAAACAATTAAATTATTTTTTATAAATATTTTTGATGATATGTCATGCTGATTGGGCAAAATTAACAGAATTTTGGACGGAAGTGGACGGATTGACCTTTTTGTTACTCGCTCAAACTTATTTGACCGAAACGTGCAAAATTAAAGAATTATGACCATTTTGTACAAAGTGAATAAATTTGTGACCATTTATGATAACTACCCTAAAAACCAGCAACGAAACAGGAAGCCCATGCTTTGTTTTCATCTTACAAAACCAATACGCTAGTAAAACAATGGAAGAAAATTGGACAAGATTCAGATCGAATTACTGGCCTTGCACTACTTTTACATTCAACATCCAACAGAAACCAGAAACCATCATCTCATACAAGAGGCAACACAATAAAACGTCACAAAAATTGAGAAATCTATAACACCAACCATGTAAACTGTATGCAAACCCGTCTAATACAAAGTAAACGGTACGAACAAGCACACAACCCAGAAAAATCCTGGTCCTGCACTTCTCTGAACCACCAAACCTGCTAATAATGCTGGGCGACTTGTAGGTGAAGAGCACATCTCAAAAACTGCTACTGAAATGTGTACACGTTCCCCGACCCACACATAAGAACCGAACTCAACAATAAAAGGGCAAAAAGAAAAGAAAGCAACAACGAGACCCGTTGCTAGACTACAATTAAACTCCCCTCCCCTGCACTTCTCAAACCCCCCCATTCCTATTGGCACTCTTACTTGGGGCCAACATCCTTAAGAGCGCAGATCTGCTCCTCTCCCATTGCCGCCATCACACTGACAACAAGGTCTTTACCCTCGCCAAATCCATCCTTGATCTGGCAATCAAGGTGGAAAAACAATTTCGAAACATTAGATAACCAGTTAGCTGGAACGGTTGACTTTGTAATTAAATAAATTGAAAGCTCCAAGGCCAATGTAATTGCCAACAAACCTGAGTAAGAAGCGCCTCATCAGAGGGAAGCCTCAGGTCATCCTTGGTGTTGCCATTATCAGTCAACAGGCTCACCTAATATCATAACAGAACAAACACAATTATGTAAGTCGCCAAAGACAGCGGTCAAAAGGCATAAATCATGTACACCACGCAAGGACAGTAAGAACAGTCACTTACAAATCCATCCTCAGAGATGTCAATCAGCTGGTAATCAACACGGTTCACATGAGGAACCTACATGGGGAAGCAACATCCGCACAATAAGAACAAAACGAAGATGGTGAAAATGGGTAAAAAGGCCATGAACAGTTGACTTACATCACAGTTATGGGACGAGGGAACAATATCTTCCAGCTTCTTGCCATTAAAGATATCAATTGCAACAAAGTGGCACTTGGCATGACCGTGCTTGCCAGTCTTGGAGGTGGAAACTTCAACAACCTACAAACAATTAGATGGACAGAGTCAATTTCAATTCGTATAAGGTAAAACGGCAAGCCAACCTGCCATGAATAAAGGCCAAATCCTATCATAAAGTGGGGAAATTCTCATCGCTTAAGCCCATAAAGATCTAATGGATACAGGACATCGTATCACAGAAATCAGGTACCATGCCCTACACAACAAATCTTTGAAGCTAAAGTTCATTGTTACAACTGATCTAATCACAGATTAGATACAATCCCAGATTATTAACCTCAACCATCAAACAAATAATTCTACTGGCAGTACCTCCACAGAAACCCTAAGACAAACAATTCAAACGATTCAGAAAGCAAAAGGAAAAGAGATCTCGCCGATTAGTTCACCGCAACTCCAAACAGATCTGATGCTTCGAATCCCTAAAAAGAAACTATTAAGTGGATGAAACCGATATACCTTGCAAGGACGGTTTTTTATGACAATATAACCATTCTTGCGAATGGTTCCAGCCTGCTGGGGATAAGTTTTGGAGGCTCCAGCGTCAGCTTTGGACTCAAACTGATGCTCTTCGTCAGACATGGCGGCGACGGCGTGACAACTCCGATGAGGAAAACTGTGGATAGAGGGAAGAGCCGCTTCTAGGAGCACAGAGTGTGGTTATAAGAGAAAATCGACAGAATTCCGTCGTTATTTATAGGTCATAACCATGGACAGATAGGGTCTAGGGTTTGTAAACTAAAACCAGTTCAACAACAATTTTGTTTTTGTTTTTCCTTTTCGGTTCAGAGGTAGAAATTTTGGTATGGAATACTGACCGTTGGATTTTACAGCCATCCGGCGGATGGTGGAGAGTCCTGCGTTAATACGACGCTTAACATGGCACGTGGGAGTCGTAGCGGGCTCGCGCAGGTTTTTTATTATGATACGGGCTCGCCTACTTAGAAGTCATTTATTTTATGTATTTAAAAATGAGGATTTCGTAATTTAGAAATTAGGATCGGTCCATGATATTTGGAGGCATGCTTCGAAAATTAAAAATATAAACTTAAATTTTTTCTTTGAAAATTTAATAAAAAATATTAAATAATATATAAAGGCAAAAAAGATAATTACGGCCACAGGTCAAATGATACAAGCCCTCCAAATTTTCAATTATGTTCCTGCAAAAAAAATTTGGATAGGGTCTCATTCACACGCTTAGCAAATAAAAAATAAAAGTCACAAGGTTAACCCATTCCAAATCACAGTGCAATTCTTCTTCTTTTTTTACATGTATATATATGTATGGGCTTGATTGTGAGGCCCAAATCATTCGGAGGCCCTGTGCTGTGTGTCTGATCAGCACAGGGCCAAAGCCAGGGCTGTTAAAAACCCCAAGATTTATCAAGAATTTGAGGCATTGTAGATTAGTAACAGTCTTTTGTTTGTTGAGATGCTTTATCATGGATTTAAGGGTTTGGAATTTAGAACTTAAAGTTCAAAATTATCATACTATTCTTTTTTATTTGTTTGTCATGTTTATGATATATACACAAAACAAGGATAATACGTACTAATAAGTATAATATTGACTCATTCTAACTACAACATCCCGATCGACGGCTGATTCAGGCCTAATTGCACATGTTTTGCCCTCGTTTTACTTAGATGTTTGTGCCAAATTCGCTCCTTAAAGGTCGGTTTTACGCTAGGTTCTTCGTGATTGAGTGTGTTTCAGGATATAACAGGTAAAACTAGCCTCGGACTCGAAAGATTGGCGAAAAGGATCGAAAACCGGGAGAAGAGGTGAAAAAGCGTCAGTTCACGGTTAACTGAAGGAGTTCACGGTCATGCAAGACCGTGAAGAAGGGGAGTTTGACCGTGAATCGCGAGGCATCCAGAGCCAATGTGAAGGTTACTGACGCAAGGTGAGTTCACGGTCACTAAGACCGTGAACACAAGCAGTGGCCCGTGAACGGACGTGAGCGATGCAGAGCGTTTTGGCGCACCCCTTGAGTTCACGGACGCATTTGATGGTTCACGACCGTGAACTCAGCTCTTCTCGGGTTTAAAAGCTGAGCTGAAAGGAGGAGAGAGGGGAGAGCCCATTTTTGTGAGAAACACCTTCTTCAGCATTCTAGTGAGAGAAACAGAACTAAAGGGAAGAAGAAGGTTAGGGTTTGGCTTCAAGGCAGACTTTTGGGAAGATTTCCCCAAGGAAAGCTCAACTCAAGGGTCAAGAAGAGAGGAGGCATCCCCAAAGATGGTTTCCACCTTTTTCCCTTTTGTTCTTCCCACTTCTACCATGGAGTAGACCTCCTTTCACTTGG